CCACGTGCTCTGAGTATGTGAGACAGAATTTCAAAATTCTAGCCTCCAAGGAGAAATTTCGTTTCACCCTCTCCAAGACAGATCAATTTGTTTTCTTGGCATTCCATGATAGGTTCAAGACTCTTCTCCAGCACCACAACTCAAAGGCATCGATTCTCCTTCTGTCATCCTTAGTCATCGTCCAGTTCACTGACGCACAGCAAATAATTGCAAAGACCATGGCCTGGATCAGGCGCACCTGACTCTCCAGACTGACATCGTTGCTTCTCAGCACTCTGACAGGTCCTTGACAGCAGATTTTCCCAGTGCAATTCAGCTTTTGGTTTCCTGATGGCTGGTGCCAAAAGAAAGTATTAATGCAGATTATTTACATTTCCCAAATAAGTATATTAGCAGAAAACTGTTGCTGCTATGCACCATGAGGTAGTATTTTCCAAAGAGACCCATTAGGGTCTCTATGTTATCAAAGTCTTCTGAGAACCTGCTCAGATATTGGGACTAGTTGCAAGTCTCTGGTACATATGGTAGAGGCAGGAATGGGAGATTTTGTGAACAGGATTTCTAAAAGAGAGAAAGTGAAAATTAGGAATGAGGAGAAACTATTTTAAAAGGGGAGCCAGACAATGAAAGATAGCTAAGGCTGGAGCCAAAGACACAGTGAGCTACAGAACTAGGGAGCTGGACACACCAGGCAGAGAGGAGCAGATCCAGGGAGAGTGGCGGCGGGGTTTGTGGCCACCGACTTGGTTCCGACTCGGAGCACAGTGCTGGCCAGTCCTGTGGCACCTTCACGACAGCTGCTGTCAGCCCACCGCTAGTCAGTGTGGCAGTGCACCGCGTGGACGCTTTCCTCTTTTTAGCTGGCCCTCTGCTTACTCATTGAGAAAGGAGGGCTTTATGAGGAGAGGTGTGGCATCAGGATTGGAGGAAGACTCATTAGCAATCTACGATATGCAGATGACACAACTTTGCTGGCGGAAACTGAGGAGGACTTGAAGCACTTGCTACAAAAGGTCAAGGACTGTAGTCTTCAAGATAGATTGGAACTCAACATTAAGAAGACAAAGATTCTCACCACTGGGCCAATTTGCAGCACCAAATTAGATGGAGAAGAGATTGAGGTTGTTAGCAACTACAGCTTGCTCAGATACACAATCAACACTCTTAACACCAGCAGTCAGGAAATCAAAAGATGAATTGCACTGGGAAAATCTGGACCTCTCCAGAGTGTTGAAGAGAAACAATGTCAGTCTAGATGCAAAGATACATCTAATCCAGGCCATGGCCTTCTTAATTACTTGTTATGCTTCAGAGAGTTGAACAATGACTAAGGATGACAGAAGAATAGATGCCTTCGAGTTATGTTCTGGAGAAGAGTGTTGAACATACTGTGGACCACCAAGGAAACAAATCAGTCTGTCTTGGAGAGGATGAAACCAAGTCTCTCCTTGGAGGCTAGAATTTTGAAGGTCCGCCTCACTTGGGCACATATCCAGGAGAGATCAGTCCTTGGAGAAGGACATCATGCTCTGAAGGGTGGAAGGACAGTGCAGGAGAGGGAGACCCTGGGTGAGAATGATCAATGATGGGGGTTGGTGTGTTGGAGTTAGTGAGATGGCTCAGGACAGGGAAGGGTTCAGAGCAGTTGTACCTATAGGGTTGCTATGCATCACAAGCAACTCAATGGCCCATAACAACAATAACATACTATGACAGGTTTGGAAGCAGGAGTGGCATCCACTTGCTAAACAATATGTTTCCGGAAACCCTATGAACTTTGATAAATATTGGTAGTTGTAGAGGGGCTTCAGGACTTTTGTTCAGAGGGTTGCTATATGTTGTGCTTGACTCGAAGGCAATCAACAATAACAACTACTTATTAAGCAAGCCTTGGGGGCTTAATAGTGAGTTATGTTACCAACCCAACAGTACCCATGTCAAATCCACCAGCTGATTCATGGGAGGAGGGACAATCTCCTCCTTTGCCATTTACGCCTCTGGAAACCTGCTGGAGGGTCAGCTATGAGTTGGTTTCGACTCAACGGCACACAGCAACAACTACTTCTGACTAAAATGGGCGAGGAAGAAAGAGCTGCTTATCCACTTCCAAAAACCAGTCAGGGAGAGCGTTACAGCTCACAGCAATCCAATCTCATGGTGTGTGAGGTCACCGGGTCAGTAGCAATAGCATGTTTTAGAAAAAACAAACTGTTTTCTTACAACCAGTATTGATAAATTATCAAGGATGTCCTCGTTGTTGGTTCTAACGTTTCTGACTGTTTGAACCATGGTCACTCAGTACTTCAGTTGATCTGAGAATTTAAATACTAGCTTTCCTTGCAGGGATGGTACAGTGACTCACACGCCGCCTTAGAGAAGAGCTTGTCAGATCAACAGGCCTTAAACATTGCTTTTTGAAATGTCGACTCCATCTAGTTTGGACAGGTTTGTTCATGTGTAAAGAAATTACTTCAAGCTTAGATATTTACTCTGAAACCATGGAGATGCCAGGTAATTAATGAGTCATCAGAGAAGTTGGCAACTTCTGAATTGAAAACCTGTACATACATATACGATGTATTCTTTGACCCTTCACAGAATTGTTGGCAGGTCCACTGAGGACTGGGCTCTATCTCCTATTTCCCTCTTTTCACCCTTCCGAGTTCTTGCGGCAAACTCAGTCCATCTGCGTTCAGTTGAATATTTCCAATCTATGTAGCAGTGAAAAGAAATATAGGAGAGAAAGGGGGTGAAATAGAAATGTTTTTTCAAGTATTCTGTAGCTAAACATTTTGAAAATACTTTCAGTTAGTCTTACTCTGCCTCAGAAAAGTCTTTTTTGGGGGAAGGGGTATCCTTAATTGTGTACAATTAGAGCAATGCAAAATTGAAACAGTCCAGAGATGCCAGACTCAGTACAAGATGCCTTACAGGTATTTTGTTCTTTCCTTCAGCAAATCCATTCAAAGTCCTTTTCCTTATTGGCAAGTTGCATGCTGGCTTCAACTGGAGCCCCAGAGACACTCAAGGCACAAGGCAGCCCTCTTCCCTCCTGTCTCAGGCACTCAGAGAACCTTACTTATTAAGCTCTGCTTCCCTTTCCTTTACGTGACCACCTGGAAGGTCAGGAGGAACCTGTGAGCTGTTGAGGAGCAAGATGACGAACTTGGGAGACAGAGCTGGAAATGCGTATGGTCAGTCATGTGTCTCCACGCACTTCGCATGTTTTCCAAGTAAATTTAGAAGGTTAGCCTGGAACAGCCATTTTTCATATAATATGAAAATGACAATCTATGGACCAGGGGTTTCTATAACTGCTATCGCTTTTGTCATTGTGTGCCGTCAAGTCAGAACCAACCCGTAACTGGCCCTCCAGTGGGTTTTCAGAGGCAGTTAACCACATGAAAGGAGAGTGCTCATTCTTCTCCTGTGAAGCATCTGCTAGACTGAGCCCCAAGCCTTTGTGACAATTATGATTATAAGAAAACAGTCCATTTTTTCCAGTACACACTGTTGTTAGACCCAGTGACCTCACGCACCATGGGACTGGATTGCTGTGACCCGTAATGCTCTTCCTGGCTGGTTTTTGGAAGTAGATAAGTAGCTCTTTCTTCCTCGTCCATTGAATCCCTGTCAGCATCTTATCAATACCTACCTTCTGCTGACAGATGGGTGGCAGCTGTGTACAAGGTGCGGTGACCAGTAACTTAACGTATGTCTTTCCCGTGGCAGATGGGAGTTCTACCATTGAGTCGTTAATGCCTCATTAAATATACTCATTGGTGCCTCTGCATTGTTTACTGGTCATATTTATAGTCGAACAGTTACGTTCCGTTACTGTAGGGGTTATCCGATGGGGGTGGGGGACACCTCGAGGTCCAATTTGCAGCTTTAAAACCTTCCTTGAGTTGTACTTCACTGAGGTCTTTTCAGTCCAGGATTTGATCCTTATCCTGGAGACCAGGCTTCAGAAATGTGGTTCAGCACACACATATCTTAGGAGCTGTCTGACACTCCCCAAACATGGAACAATGAGGAAACCTGGATGCAACTCTTAAATCCAAATCAGAATGGCAAAATGGCCAGTGCCAGCACATTCCTTGTTTGTCAAAAAGACAAGAAGGCAAATGTGTAAGAAATGGTTGATGGTGAGTGAGCATGAGATCAGAGCAAAGAAAGTAGCTGAGACTTACGGGCGAGGGTCACTGTTCACTGACCCCTGAAGCCATTTACAGCGTAGATGCAGCCCCGCTGGAGAGGGCAGCGTCCTCAAGCCTTCAGGCCAGGCTGACACACACGGCTCCTCGTGGACCGTTAGCCTAAGCCTTTCCCCAGACGAGTGCCCCAAACACCAGTTACACTTGTGTCTATTCACGGAGTCATAGCCCAGCCCTCCTGCCTCCCTGAGGTGTCCTGAGCGTTGTGATGATGCTTTGGACGCCCTACGAGTGTCAGAGTAGAAGAGTGTTCCCCAAGCTCTTCCATGGCTGATCTCTGCGCTATTAGGACCAATCACTCATTCCTTCTGAGCAATCGAATCAATTACATTGATCGACAAGTTCCTCTTTCTCCTTCTTCATTTCTCAGTGTTGAGGGAAGTTGTTCTGCAGGAAACTCTGCTGATCCTTCTGTTGTAGAAACTGGAATTGTTTCCCTTTCAAGAACTACTCTTGGTTTCCTACTTTGAATTCTTTCCTTGGGGATTCTTTCCATTACCTGCAGGAGGTCTCAGCACATCCAAGCTTGAAATGGTCCCTACCTGATCTAAGTCTTCCTCTTCCTGGGGTTTGGGCTGCTCCCTGCCTACCCTGACTGGCCTTGGTTCAAGGCGTCCTGCACCCAGCAACATCTTCTGAAAAGATGGGTGTTAAATCAAATGATAAGCTTAGCGTGTAACAGATAGTCAATAATGCTAAATGTTATTATTTTCACAAAATAATGGCTAGAACGGATTTTCTTGACAAATCTGTCATCAACTCTAATTTTGTCTTTGCAGAGACATGTGGGGAAATCAGACGTCTGTCACAGAGTTCATCCTCAAGGGGTTTCCTGTTGGTCCGAGGATGCAGCTGGCCCTCTTTGCAGTCTTCTCCCTATTCTACACCTTTACTCTGCTGGGGAACGGGACCATCCTGGGGCTCATCTCCGTGGACCCCAGGCTGCATACCCCCATGTACTTCTTCCTCTCCCACCTGGCCGTCATCGACATAGCCTATGCCTGCAACACGGTGCCCCGGATGCTGGCAAACCTCCTGAGTCCCGCCATGCCCATCTCCTTTGCTGGTTGCCTGGCTCAGACCTTCCTCTTCCTGACTTTTGCTCTGACAGAGTGTCTGCTCTTGTTGGTGATGTCCTATGATCGCTACATGGCCATCTGTCACCCCCTCCGGTACTCCGCCATCCTGAGCCGGAGACTCTGCACCTCTCTGGCAATGGCTTCCTGGGCATGTGGCTCCCTGCTGGCTCTGGTCCAGTTGAGCCTCATCCTGCGGCTGCCCTTCTGTGGGCCTCAGGAGATCAACCACTTCTTCTGTGAGCTCCTGTCTCTCCTCAGGCTGGCCTGTGCAGACACTTGGCCTAACCAGGTGGTCATCTTAGTTGCTGCTCTGTTAGTGTTGGTGGGGCCCCTCTGCCTGGTGCTGGTCTCCTACACCCGCATCCTCGTCGCCATCCTGAGGATCCAGTCCGGGGGCGGGCGCAGAAAGGCCTTCTCCACCTGCTCCTCCCACCTCTGCGTGGTGGGGCTCTACTTCGGCAGTGCCATGGTCACTTATATGACCCCCAAATCCGGCCAGTCTGAGGAACAGCAGAAAGTCCTTTTCCTATTTTACAGCATCTTCAACCCAATACTGAACCCTCTGATCTATAGTCTGAGGAACGCAGAGGTCAAAGGAGCCCTGTGGAGGGTGCTGTCCAGGGAGGTTCATTCCCAAATGGGCTGAACCCCGAGTCCCCGGCCTGAGTAGGACCACTCACCAGGGGCCAAATACCAGGCAAGCTCTGAGCTCTCTCTGGCCAGGAAACTTTGCAAGATGCTCTCCTTCTTCCTCAAGAAGAGTTTAGTTCACTGCATTTTTCTACGTCGTCCTCTCAAACTTTTTCTTTAGCCGATAGAGGAGTTAAGAATATTTGGATTTCCTTGGTGACAGGAGAGTAGCAGGCATGGACAGGTGCGGTCCATCAGAAGCAGCTGAGCAAGCACCTTACGGACACTGGGCTTCTGTGAGGGTGACAGGAGAACCTGATGATGGTGATGGTTGAAGTACACAGTGAACGTGAGTGATGTCCCTGAATTGTGAGCATGAAGAATGTTTAAAAGGACAAGGGATTCATTGCACATGTATTTATTATACTTTAAAAGTAGAGTAAATCAAGAAAAGCCTTTTTTGCAATAGCTCTGTGGCCACAGACAGAAACCCCAGAGCCCGCTGACACCTCTCTTCGACTTACACCCTCTTTCCAGTCTCCATCCCCCATCTCGATGTTCTTCTCTTGCACACAGTTGTGCGCCATCAGCTCAGTTCCATTTCAGGGCAGCCCTGCAGGCTGGGGTGAGCCACTCCTCAGGGTCTCCTGTGTACCGGGCTGTCACCTTTCCAGCAGCAGGCGGCTGTGGCTTTCTCCTGGGAGCTGCAGATGAGCCCAAGTCACCAGAGGTTAGCCAGCAGCCACGCATGTAACCATCGAGCCTCAGTAAACGAGCCCTGGGAATGAAGTGACCTTCCTCAAGGAAATTCTGCGAATGTCTTACCATCCCCTCTGGCTGCTGGCTCCCAGAACCCCTTCCCATCACCCCTGAGTGTGTGACGCTGTTCTGGGCTCCTCCTGCCTTGCCCATAGGGAGCTCAGCTGAGCTCTCAGGCTCCTAAATCATACACCACACCTCTCTGGTGCTTTGACTCCACAACCAGCTCCCAGGCAGACAGATGGGAAGTCTCCTCCTGTGCCGTTTACAGTCTCAGGAAAACCCAAAAGAGGCCAGTTAGAAGTCGGTTTCAACTCAACAGCAATGAGTTGGAGGGATTGGGTTTTCTGTATTTTGTGCTGGGCCTTTTTGTCCTTTCCCATGAATGTCCTTGTCCTTGACCGTCTCTGAATAAACGTGTACCCTTCACTTAAGACACACAGATGCATTAGCTGGCTGAGACATAGCAGAGATTGTGAGGATGGACAGAACCAGGCAAGGTCTTGTGCTGTTTATGAGGTTTCTGTAAATTTGAAGTTAACGTAAACAGAAACTTGGCTTGAAGGTATCTTTATGGAATGTGTAGTGACTGAAATGCGTGGTTACTAACCTTAAGGCTGGTTCTTTGAATACAAAAGTTGTGGGAAGGGAGAGAGATGTGGCTACCTACTTTTGAAAGGTTTACAGTCTTATAAACTCTGGGGGCAGTTTTGCCCTGTCCTAGGGCTGTAATGAGGCAGGATCAATGACAGCAGGATTGGTTTAAGTCTTCACTTGGAGAGGGTGAAAATACCACAACTGGATTCCCACGATCAGGCATGGACGGAAAATGTAGGCGGGGCAATGGAATGAGGAAAATGTGCTTTACCAGTCCGCCATAAGTAAGTGTTCAACGTGATGGGCAGTGCACAGAGTCCCTCAGTCACCGTAACCAGCCCAACCCCCTTACCACCTCATCTCTAGAGAACAGCAAATGCTAGAATCGGACCCAGCAGCCTGGCTCCAGGCCTCCGCTACTTTTCAGAGTCAGGCAACGGAATGCATTAGTGTTCACTCTCGCACTCACCGTCATCACATCAGAACTGACTCAGAACTGACTCTTTGTGACCTTCTGAGGAAGAAGGGGGAGATTGCCATCTTTTTTCCAGGGATCTACTGGCAGATTTGAACCACAGAAAAGTGCAGACTTTGGATTAACAACGACACTCATATTAGTGCAACCAAATCATGAATGAGAAAGAGTCCCTGGGCCATGCAAAGAGCATGCTTGCCTGTAAACCAAATGTCTGGGGGTTCGAGTCCACCAAGAGGTATGTCAGGGAGCTCTCGTGGCTTAGTGATGAGGACCTGAGCTGCCAGCCCAAAGGCACACAGTTCAAACTCATTCTCCCACACAATTTCCTGCTTTTGAAAACCCACTGGAGGGTCCACTGTGAGCTGGTTCCAACTCGATGGTACACAACAACAGTAAGAGGTGAGTCAGAAAGGCCTGGTGATCTATGATTGATAAATCAGTGATTGAAAACCCTAGAGACAATTCTACACATGGGGGTGGGGGCAGAGTGGGAGTAGGGGGATGGGACATGAGTTGGAACCAGTTCAAGGGCAAGTGGCTTCTTTCAGAGGAGGAGATGCTCGTGAACCTGGGACGAGGAGAGTCAGAGATGATTTCTGTAAGGTTCTTGTCCGAGGTGGTGAATCCTAGGAGCTGAGTCACAAAGGGGCTTCAGAGACCTAGAGGAACAGACACAAGAGGGTGGGAACAGAGGCTATCTCTTCTCATGGAAATGAGGTTTGGCTCAGAACTGAACTGGGCAGTAAGACCCACCCGAGTCACAGCCAGCATCCCACAGATTGCTCACTTGCTCACGTGCACACCCCACCACACACAACACACTCACTGAATGTGAAGCAGGAGTGAGGCATGTTCTGAGTACTTGTGACCTTTTCAAATCCTCTTTGCAACGGCACCAAGTGAGGTGATTATTAGCCAGTTCGTAGATGAAAAACAAAAACAGAAGCACAGAGAGATTGTAATTGACCCAACGTCTCACAGCTAATAAGTACCTAGGAACTTGAGCAACCTCACTGGTGGTCACGTCATCACAGCCACTGTGAGAATGAAAGGGAGGAGGAGGATGACGACGACGAGGTGGAGGAGAGGGGGAGAGAAACTCACAACTAGACCCAAACATGGGCACTGAGCCTCAGAGAGGGAAAGTGATTTCCATGAACTTAAATTTTCAAAACCCAACAGGCCAACTTTACACTGCGGGGCCTGTGACTCTGAACAGACGGGCGGGGCTGGCACCCTGGCACCGTGGGAGCCATGGAGACTGCTGTAAAATCTCTGCAGGAAGGCAGGCCAATTACAGGCAGTGCCCAGGCCAGGGAGGGGCCCCGTGGGGCGGTCCCCTGAAATTGGCCCCTGCAGCAGCTCCGGCATGTGGTGTGCGGTGCGGGGTGATTGCTGCTCTGAGTGTGGGATCTGCTCAGCCCATGTGGCTGTGAGTAGCTGATGGTGAGGTCACTGCTGCCCACCGGGCACATGGCCGGGAGGGGAGGGCGCTCATGCCACCTGCTTCTTAAAGGGCTTCAAATGGTGTTGGTCCAACTTCCTAAGAATATTGTTAAATATATATAATGTTTCTCTGGGAATTTTACAAATATTTTATTGCATTTTTGGTGAAAATCTATACACTTGGGCTATATAGTATATATTAGGGTATTGTATTTTGGGGGTAAATCTGAAAACTTCTTTTCATTCAATAATATCTAAGCATAACATTCAGAGATACTCTTCACACTGGGAAAATCCTTTCACTATTCTGCTCCCCTTCACTGAGTCTCCCTGTCCCCCCACATCTCATCTATGCTCTAGAGTGACTGCTGACCACGTGGCTTCACAGTGCTGGACTCACCTGGGAAATTCTTCCCTCTGAGCTAACCTGCCATTTAGATAGAGGTGACTTCAGGGGATGGCCCCAGTTCAAGGCTTACAGATTCTCAGGGGGCAATCTCGGGGATTCCTCCAATGTGAACCCATGCTGAGTCAAAGGGAGACGTGGACACTTGAGCACAGAATGATTCAGTTCAGATGTCTGGGTTCTCATCCAATTCCAACATGAACTCTGGGTAACCTCACAGAAGTTGCCTTACCCATTGGGGTTTCAGTTTCCTCATTTACTAAAGGAAAATTAGGCCAGGAAATCTTCATGTTTCCTTCAAAACTTGCTTACCAACTCTGTGTTTGTCTTTTAATTTTTCACATTTCATTAGAATTTATATTTTACTTTCTACAAAAATTCTCACCACTAGGCCCATTGATAGCACTATAATAGATGGAGAAGAGATTGAGGTTGTTAGCGATTACAGCTTGCTCAGATCCACAATCAACACTCTTAATACCAGCTGTCAGGAAATCAAAAGATTAACTGCATTGGGGAAATCTGCAGTCATAGACCTCTCCAGAGTGCTGAAGAGCAATGATGTCAGTCTAGAGACTAAGGTGTGCCTAATCCAGGCCATGGTCTTCTCAATTACTTGTTATGCTTCAGAGAGTTGGACAATTACTAAGGATAACAGAACAAGAATAGATTCTTTCGAGTTGTGGTGCTGGAGAAGAATCTTTAACATACCATGGACTGCCAAGAAAACAAATTGGTCTATCTTGGAGAGGGTGAAACCAAGTCTCTCCTTGGAGTCTAGGAATTTGAAGCTCTACCTCACTTACTCTGGGCACATGGCCAGGAGAGATCGGTCCTTGGAGAAGGACATCATGCTCGGAAGGGTGAAGGGATAGCACAGGGGAGGAAGACTCAGGATGAGATGGATTGATACAGTAACTGGGGTGATGGGGGTTGGTGTGTCAGAGTTAGTGAGACTGGCTCAGGACAGGGAAGGGTTCAGAGCTGTTGTATATAGGGTCACTGTACATCACAGGTGACACAATGGTATATAACAACAATAACATACTATGGAAAGTTTGCAAGCAGGAGTGGCATCCACTTCCTAAACAACATGCCTCTGGAAACCCAATGAACTTTGATAAATGTCAATAGTTGTAGAGGGGATTCAGGCCTTTTTTTCATGGGGTCACTATAAGTCGTGCTCAACTTGAAGGCAATCAACAACACAACAGTGAAGACATCATTCTTCTGCTTTTCATTCCCAGAATAGTATACCTTTTGATTGTCTGATTTAAAGAGGCCGAAGCTAGTCCCTCTCATCACACTAATGCTTGGGATGTCAGTATTC